CCAACAACACGAATCGACTCATAATTTAAGGACTAGGTTTAGGAAACCCCACCCAAGTCCATCCCCAACTTTTCGTTTTAATTTTTCGATTCCAAAATGAGACCGGCTGTAAGCACGATATGAGCAGTTTTACAAATCGACCAGGTTACTGTGACTTTCAATGCACGATATGCAAACCTGACTATCAATGACTTAGCCCATTGCATGAACATAACCATTTGAAGACAATAAAATCAAGAGACTGAAAATGGTCATAATGACTTTTAGAAAGAAAAACCTAGAAACTGAAACATTATTAAAAAACGCAATTAAACAACAGAAAAATGATGTTTGAAACATTAATCCACACTTCTTACAACCCGGCGAAGTGACAGTCAGAGGATAAATAGATGAGGGCGACGAGCGGTTGAATCCATCTCGAACGTATTTAATATGTAACTGTCACTAAAACTAAATCTAATTATGGATTTTAGTCTCATTTTTAATTCTAACCACTTTGTCTGAGGATACGAGACCCAGCTACGTGCTTAATATATGTTTGTTGTCGTAATTTAAATAAGGTTCGTTCGGCGGATAACCTATAAGTCGTTACACATTTCTTGACTTTGAAATAGGTTAAAAATCAATTGACTAGGCTGATACAAAGAAAAATAGGTTGAATTAGGGTAGCGCTAACTGACGTCAGCCAGACGTAAATAGGGACTTTTTCGACTTTCGCGCAAATGTTACATAGTAGCGTAAGTTCCGCGAAAATGTCACATAGTAGTTTTTGTCGCAACTGAGTAAAAATTGATCATCTTCGTCAACGAGTGCTTTAGCAACCAAGTCTCCGCTCCGGGCAAACGTTTGAGGTAAGGGATTCATTTTGAGGCTAGTTGGAGTACACGAACACTCCAGTTAGCGGGTTTAACTTTTTAAAGTTTTTTCAAGTTAGTAATGAAATTTCTAGTGACCGGAGGGCTAGATGGGAAGACATGAACTCACTTCTTCCACGGCCATAGGAACAAAATCATCTAAGGAAAAAATTTTAATATACGCTAAAGATCGAACCCAAAAAAGAACAAACCCAAAAAAATAGAAAACAAAAACAGAAGAAAAAACGTCAATTTATATGTTGTTTCAGGACAAGATGCGATTTGTTCTTCATATTTGTTACTGTTTTTGATTGAAATCTACCATTCCTAGTTGATAGTTCAACTTTCTTTACTGTTTTTTGGGTACCTTCGGAAGTGATGTTTGAGCATTTGAGCACATTAATGATAATTTCGGCGGCGACAGGAGGTAAGTGCGGCAACAGGACAAACTAGAGCGACTGTTGAGTCACGCTAGAGTAGTTTTTGCATTTTTTGTCTAATAAATACTCAACTTTAGGTTGGATGAAGGTACATAGGGACAATTTTCTTTGTACACTCCATCGGTTGCAATTTTTATAATCAAGCTCATTGACTAGGAAACTAGATTTGAAGAATAGTATATAAATATAAAAAGCAGTATTTTTTTTAGTTTAAAATAAAATATTTAGTGTAGTTGAAGTATTAGCGACTAATATTAGGTTTTTCAACCCAGCTATCTCCCCTTCTGGACCCAAGAAAACCCCAATTTTGTCAAAAATTAACTGCCTTCTATTACAGTCATTTTAACTAGTTTTCGATGTGCGAACTTTACGAAGCGAAAAAAACACCTATGCTTGAATACGTGGTTCAGTTTTTCGATTGAAAAAATCGCGCAGCAAAAGACCTGGAAAATCATAAATAGGTTTTTTCTCAAATGTGCGTGACTTTTTTACTTAAACTAATCTAAATAATCTAAATAAAATGAGACGTTAAGATCGAAAAAGGAAAGACTTGGTGGGCCCAAATCTGATAGTTTTTGGTCAAATTTTTCGTTTTCAAATCAATTATGGTACTTTTTTTTGCTATTTTCTATGATTTAGAGGACTACTGCAATAATTTAAAGTGTTTTTAGGCGCCTTATGTAAAAATGCTAAAAATTCTCTGATAGTTTATGTAGGAAGAGAAAAAAAAACAGATTTTGGAGAGACGTTCAAATTAATTACTCAAAGACCACTTCAGCAATCGGAACAATATTGGTGCCATAAATGGACATTTTTAACCTATAACCGCTGTAAGGTGAAAAGGCTGCGAGAAGACTTTTTTTAGAAACTCTTCTCCCAGTTTACATTGATGTGTGGGTGCAAAAATTCAAAAAAAAATAGATTTAGTTTGTCAATTTTTCATTAAAAAAGCTAAACTAGCTTTAAAATGCTTCGAGCATTCTTGTTTACAAGTATGAGTCATATTGTTTTGAGTTTGAAAGGCTCCTAATCTAATTGCCCGTTTAGGACTTAATACAAAACAGTTTTCCTCGAAAAAAGAATAACAAATGAAAAAAAAGGAAAAAATCATCGGGAAACATTTGAAATCAAATTTCGAAAAAAATATTTCTGATTTTTGTAGGTTATTTTTAAATGTTCTTTAAAAACTGATTGTCACCCACTTGTTCTAGAAAGCTTCAAAATTATGTCTTCCCGGGATAAAATTAGCTTTTCGGTGAATGAAAAAAAAATTTGGCTATTTTCTATCAGGTAAACCGAGCGAGCAGGCCCTTTAAGAGCTACTCATTAGAAAATAGACTCAATCTGAAAGTTCCCGGTTCTGTTTATTCTCTATAGGGACAAGTTTATAAATTTCGAGCTGATTTGAATCACGTTCGAGAAGGCTTCGAAAGTATGTCTCCCGAACCATCTCAATCATTATTCGTGATACAAGAGTTTTCTTGAAAAAAATGAAAGAAAAAATAGAATACACCCATAGACAACACTACTCCTTGATTTAAATGGTCGCAATCAAACCGCAGAGTCTTTAAACCCTTGCTAAATTAAAACCAAGAACGCTGTTGTCATCTGATTCTCGGAAAAAACACCCGTTTTTCTGAAAATTTTGATGTCTGTCAAAATCTGTTTTAAACAAACGAGTCACTGCAAACAGTTCACATCAAGTTCAAAGTTGAAGTGCTGCTTTATCTATCTACGATCTGGAATTTTTGGATTCTCTTTTTCAAACTTATGCTAGTCATTCAAATTTATGCTAGTATATATTCATATATGGAATTTGTATAACTAGCATTTTTCCATTGACTAAGTGTATATGAAAATGTATGACTAGCATTTTCGGTCTATGAAAGGTAACTGTAATTATTGTAGTTATTCATTTGCAGTCTGGTTTTTTCAAGTTTTTCAATAAAGTTCTTCTTATTCTATTGTGTTTGAAAGAGAAGCAAGGAAACGCTCTGCAAACAATGTCTTCTCTAGCACATTTAAGGTTGACATTTTTCCCTCCGTCCTTTGTCTTTTTTGCGCAAGTACTACAAAAAACATCAGAACCAGCCGTTTGATATACTATAACACGACTACTCGTATAATAGCAAAGTATTAACTACACCAAATAACCCGCCTCAATTCAGTTTGGAACAGTTTCTCAGACGGGTTAAATCTTCCTTGAGCGTTGATAGCACGAAAAAAATTGCGCAATAATTAGCCCCAATTAGCCAAATTGGCAACTTTGAAAACACCCATAATTTTTCAAAAAATGACCACAGGTGAAAATTTTTTTGAATTTGAGCTCAGGAGATCAGTATTTTTCAAATGATTTAGAAAAAACCGTGAAAAGTTTCTTGTCAAAATGTCGAAATTTATCTCTATAAAACCCCCCGAGCGCAAACGAAAGTGTGAAATTCGAAAGTGTGAATAAAGAGCCCTTTTACTCAAGTTTGAAAGATCTGAATGAAAATAACTAAAAAGTCTTAGATGTCGAGTTTTTTTTCTTTATTTTTTTTTTATTTGAAGTTGAACAACACTGATCGCATCAAGGCGAAGCCTTGAATGTTCCGACTGCCTTTTAAGGTTTAAGGAGCAGTAATATCCTATAAACATTAAATGTAAAAAAAAATGAAAATTTTGTTTCTAAAAATTGAAATTTTAAATGAAAATTATCCCCCCACACACCATATAAAGTACAATAGGATAGATTTCCCTCCTTGTTACAAATCAATTATGGCAAATAAGCTTCTTTCAACTCGTTTGGAACAATTTCTAAGACGGATTAATTCTCCGCTTACGCGTTAATAGCGCGAAATATATCGCGCGTTAATTGTCCCAAATTGGCCAAAATGGCAATCTTTAAACCCCCATAACTTTACAAAAATGATCACAGGTGAAATATCGTTTCAAATTTAGGCTCAGGACAACCTTTTGAGTGATTAAAAAAATCCGTCAAAAATCACTAATTAAAAAGTCGCAATTTGTCTGAAGAAAAAAAACCACCGTTACTTTCGTATCGAAAGTTGCAACAAAAATAAATTAAAGCTCACTTCGACGATAACATAGTATTTTGTTTTGTAACGAGGCTAAAAGATTTTAAACATTGATTTAGATATTTTTAACGAGTTCTTGAAGCTTTTGTTTGTCTCCCCTGCGCAGACGGAAAATATAATTTTTTTTTGTAGGAAAATTGTTTTTTTTTCCAGATCGTCGTTTTGTGACATTTCTGCGCTACTTTCAGCAGCCTGCTACCTTTGCTCATGCTGCACTCAGTTTTTGTGTCATTAATACATTTTCAACGCACTTTCGCAGTCAGTTTAACTCCATCACGTTGCAAAACATAAGTTGCTAGAAACAATACAATGCCAATTAAATTTTTGATGAAACCGTACATCAACGGGTACTAACTAACCGGGAAAAATGATTGAGCCGGTTTGAAAACAATGTGATGTAATTCCGAAGCTTCTCTAAGGCAGACTGATTTGCGACTGATACCACGCTCTGCAACAGATGGCTTGGACGACTTGGTTTATTAGAAAAACCTTGAAATTCAAAATTTGCGCCACCCGCTCTTAAAAGATTTAACTTGAAAACTAAACAATCTAACTGTGAATTTTCTTGGTTATCAATGTATCAAACGTTAAGCTTTCCTTGGTTCATAGTGACTCATTTTCCCGTCGATCTAGTAATATGTTTCCCGCTCGATCCAACCGCCTGGGTTCCTTCTCAGGATGAATCGTCTGGTCTCGTCGAAACACCAAATGAAAATGGCAAATGGAAGTGCGGGAAACCACCACCAGAAACTAAACAATTTTTAAAAATATGAGGCCAAACTCTGCACTGGATAGGGGCACAATTTTGAGTCTGTATGACCCTGGATTCCAGAGACAAATCTTTAAACATGTTAAAATTTTGTCGGGAGGATCGAAGAAACTAAAAAAAGAAAAGAAGAACAAAGAAAGCGTCCTGGCTGCGGAATCTGCTTAAAGTACACAAAAAGCACAGTTTGGCCTCTTTAATGAATTTTATCGTGTATAATTAACATTCTGAAAAAAAAACAGCAGACTGTAAGTACGTGTGTAAAAAGTAAACTCAAAAAGAATCTAAGACGGCAAACTATTAAGAACGACTAGCAGACAGATTAAAAAAAAAAACAATGAGCGCAATGAATAAACGCAATGAGCGCAAATGAATCTAACTCAGTTTGAGAAAATTGGATCCATAGGTAAAGTTTTGATTCCGCAGGAAACCTAAAAACCAAAGTGCATGTGTAAACCAAAAAGTCGTCATGTTTTTTGCGCGCCATTCATCTAACATTTCACAGATGAAAAAACCCAAAAAGTGCTTTTACCCCTTAGTGCTTTGATAATTGTATTATATGTATAGTTGCAAATCTGAAGTTATTAGAGCATTTCTGAAAAAAAAACTAACAAAAGATCGCCAATACCTATATAAGGCGGGTCTTCACATTCAGTGACTCTTAGAAATCTTGGTTCCAGAAAATATGAAGAGAAACGTCTCTTAAAAAAGACAGCTCTTGCTTTTTTTGTGTGAATGTTTGTATCTAATTGACAATATGATCATGAATCGTAAATTTAGAGAACTATTTTTTGGATCTAACTGTTTGAAAGAAGAAAATGAAGTTGCCATATGTTAGCCATCAAATTGTGATACAATAGGGGACTAGAGCTCTAAATGAATTGTTTCATTGAAACATTTACACAGAACACAAAGATTACAAAAACTAAAACTTTTACCGACAGTCTGACGCACGTGTCGAATATCACTCAAAACACTACTCGAAAGTGTAGCAAAAGTCAAAGATTCAAACTCATTTAAATCAGTTTTCAAAAAACGAACTTTTTTTACCTCAGCAAGCAGATCAATTCATTCAGCTAAGTAGCTTTTTTAAGGATGTCAGATTTTATGTAACGACCCATGTATGATAAAAGGGTTCTTTTCCAGTTTCCCCCCCCCACCTTTCAAATTCAATTTTGAAAAGCTTATTTAACGTTGTCATAATGCAATGAAATTTGGCGTGGTGAACAAATCGACAATTCTGAACATATTTGTTCTTCATACTTAACAGCGTAACATCACGCATTTCGCCGTAATAACACGTGAAGCAAACATAAAACTCGGTAATTTGAAAGGGGGGAAACTGGAAAAGAGCCGATAATAGTAGTATGCATATAGTGAGTTAGGATAGGGGGGGGGGGGGGGGGGTGGGGGGTTGTCATACATGGATGACCATTAGGTATAAATCATAATGATCACCATGTATTAAATGATCAGCAATGGTCACTATGTAACAATCCTAATTGTCACCATGTATAGGTTTATACCTAATGGTCACCGTGTAATAATCCTAATTGTCACCATGTTTTAATTATAATTGATAGTCCCCATGTGATAAATGCCCATGTTTATCAGCAACTTTCACCATGTAATAATCCTAATTGTCACCATGTTCTTTTAAAACCTAATATTCCTCATGTACTAATGCTAATTGTCACCATGTTTTAAATTTTAGCTTATAGCCCCCATGTAATCTGCAAGGTTTCTATTTCCAATTGTCACCAAGTAATTTATGAATTCAACTTGTACCTAACTTGTTACTATAAAATTGAAGTGGAACAAAATTTCTTGGGGTCCGACTAGAGGAAAACGCATGGCGCTCGACTCTCAGCCGCAAGGCGGCATTTCGAAACCCGTCCGGAAATTGTACTGAAAGGAGGCAACAGTTGCTGGTATGGTAATATCCCCCCATAGATCGATTTTGTATTTTTTTTCTTACTCTGATAAAAGCTTAACTTCTCGGATTACTGCTAATTAGTTAACAATTGGGTAAAATTTCAATTACTAAAAGAATGTAGTGTTCAAAATTAAATTGAAAAGTGTATAAGTCACCCATACTAAATAGTTAGTTAATGGGTAAGCACGTGAGTTAGGAAACGTTTCAAAACATGATCATTTATGTAAGCAAACTCAGAAGCATCACCATTAAAGTTTTTATCATAAATCAAATAGCATATAGAAGACGAGGTGATTGTGAACCAAATCCTCAACATGACTGAAGACTCTTTGATTGGATTTATATTGGAAGTTAATCTCGAGTACCCAGAAAAACCGCATGACAATCATCAAGATTACCCTTTAGCTCCTACTAAAGAAAGTGTGCCCCAGGATTGGTTGAGTCCCTACCAAACAAATTTACTCGAGTAGATGAAAAATCAAGACATTGCAAGACGTTCAATTGGAAAGACCAAAAAGTTACTGCAGACGCTGCATGACAAGTCAAACTATACAATTCATTACGAACTATTGCAATTGTTTGTTAGGTTGGGACTTAAAGTTAAAAAAGTGCACCGTGTGCTGAAGTTTGAACAAGAAGCATGGTTAGATACATACATCACACTGAACACGACTAGCGACAAGCTAGAAAAAATTTTTGAGGAGGATTTGTACAAACTACTGAACAATTGTGCTTATGGGAAAACATGCGAGTCGAAGCGCAAACGGATGCTTGTTCGGATAGTTAGAGATTATCATGCCGCTTTGCGAGAAAAAAGTGCAAACGAATATAAATCCTACAAATTCTGGGAGAAAACTTGGCAGCGTTCACTTCGAATCCAACAAAAATCTAATGGGATATCCCAAAATTTGTGGGAGCTAGTGTTCTTGAGTTAGCAAAGTTTCACATGTAAAAATTTCATAACGATATAATGAAACCAATTTTTGAATGTCAACCACTGCATTCTGATACAGGCAGTCTCCTGTACCAAGTCAAAAGTGAAGATTTATACCGCGAAATTTCCGAAAAAAGGAACAATTTGAATGAACTTGACTTGTCAAATTACCCGAAGAACCACCCTCTCTACGACCCAAAAAACAAAATGGTTATTTTAAACTTCAGGGATGAGTTTCCAGGAGACATTATAACCGAGTTTATATCCCTCAAACCCAAGCTTTATTCCATTTTGTCCAGAGGTAATTAATTTCCATTCGCCTTATTTGTGAGCACGAACTTCAAAAAATTTTGATTTTTGTTGAATTTTTTTCGGAAGGCAATTATTTTTTTTGTGGGCGAAAAATGTAATTTTATCAAAAAAAAAATTTGGAAAAAACTTTTTAGGCGAAAAAGTATAATTTTTTTTTGAAAATTATTAGTTTTTTTTGTGGGAGACTTTTTTTCTTGTTCGAAAAAATTTTCGGGCAGAAAGTGTTTTTTTTTGTTTTGAAAAAAAAAAATTCTGGCCCAATTTCAAAAAAAAAATAAAAAAAAATGGTCGGCGAAAAATTTTTTGAAAAAAAATTTTTTGTCGGCAAAAAGAAACTTTTTAAAATTTTTTGTCGAAGAGTTTTTTTTGTGTTGGTCGATTGTTGATTTTGTTAATGATGACTAGTTTTTAAGGTCACACCTGTCCTTCATGTCATTTTTTGTTGCACCTGGACTTCAAGTTGATGTAGCAGCCACAAAAAAAGAAGATTCCAATTATTTTTCACCACATTAGTAATCATCGTTAAATGGGTTAGTGATCATTTAACTATATCTTTAGACTGCAGAAAACTGTCAGCCAAAGGTGTATCAAAAGCTGCTCAGAACTTGTTGACTCATCAGCGATATCGAGACAAGTTGACCTCTGGCTCGTTATTCAAAACTGAACACGGTCGAATCGCATCCGAGTCACACAATCTGCAAACTGTGACTTCGACGAAAACATCGTTATCAGCTTTTGATGACAAACGCTACGTCCTCGATGATGGTCAGCAGACTCTTCCCTACGGTCACAAAAACATCGTGGGTCAAACTGTGATTTGCATTGATGATAGTGATGACAACACAGCCGCTGTTAATTCTGACCCAACTGACAATGACGATTTGGAAAAATGGATGCCATTTTTTGAAGATCGTCAACAGCCAGTGTCGTAGGATTGTGACGATTTCCTAGATGGGGTGTCTGAAGATTGCGCTAATACTCAAAACGTTGATTGGGACCATCCGGAAATTGACGATGAATACTCTGAGGATAGTTTTGCTGTTGAGAACACACAACCACATCGCTAGCTTCGACAACTGATGGACCAGGTCAATAGCAATTGGAAAACTCCAGACCCGGGTCTGATTCGGGCAGCAGAAACCAACGACAGTGATATTGATAGCGGGGATATCGCGGATCTGGAGGCCAATACTTCCGACGAGCACGAGTCGTCATTCTTCAACAATTCATTTTTCGGTTATGAAGCAGTTGAAGTAGAAGAACCACGGTCAAAAAATCGACGAATAAATTAAAACACAAAAACACCACATTAAATTTTGTATAGTAAAAAAATTCAGTTATTTAATATGAGAATTGTCTGTACATGAAATTTGATCTACCACTACTCCGTGTTTAGTGTGTATTTAAGTGCGAGATTTTGTTCAGTTTTGGAATTCAGTTAACCTGGGATATAAACTATTTCATTTAAGTGATAGTGTCTTTATTATACTTTTGTAAGTATTTGTGTGTAGTTTGAGTTTGAATGAAAGTTTTAGAAGAATTGAGCAAACAGTCTATAGCGCAGTTAAACACTCCAGCTGGTTTCAGAACGAAGATTTGGCAAATCCTTTCCCGCACCAAACATTTAACCACAACGTTCAGGGGGGAATACTCAATAATATACCGAAGTTTTACATGAGGACTATTAGGTATAAAATTATACATGGTGACAATTAGGATTATTACATGGTGACCATTAGGTATAAAATTATACATGGTGACAATTAGAATTACTACATAGTGATCATTACGTATAAAATTTT